TGCAGCACGAGCATTGGTTTGCGCCTGAAGACTTTGGGGGTTGGGGGGTTGGAACCTCTCAAGTGGTATCCAGCTAGGATCCTCCAAAGTGCCTTAGAACATACAAGATGCTACAAGGAGTTCCATGTCTCCAAGACCCACAAGAGGTGGACGTTCCTCTGCCTTTGGACCTTCTCCCCCAAGAGTAGATGATCATGGTGTGTCATAATTCGGCATCCATGCCATTCTCTTCGACAGCTGCGAGCTTCCCGTGTTTCTCATTGTTTCTCTTTCAACAGCCCATGTGGTCATTTTTTCTGTGCCAAAGGGTTCCTTCAAGGGTTCCCTCGTTTGCTCTGCTGGAACCACTGTATGCCGCCCAGGAGTGTACGCCGCTTTGCTGTGCTGGCACTCTCGGCCGTGTGCGAGGCGGCTGTTCGAAGAGCGTGTGCAGGAAGAACGTGATGAGCAGCGATTGCCAGCTGGAGGATGTGGAGCCATGAGTTGAATGAAGTCCATGGACCAGACCGTTGCTGTTTGGGTCCCTGAGTGATGTGGATCTGATGTGGTCCCCAGGCCATGTAGCCTTTCTGTCAGGCCTTGGGTGGCCACCGCAAAGGGCTGCGGCGCATCAAGGAGCGGACGATGAAGCTGAAATTTGCTCCCTGCTTTCGAATCACGTTGCTCTGATGAAGCGGTTTGTCCAATGCGTCATGGATTAAAACACAAAGCATGGAAGTGGATGGCACCCCTGTTTGTAGAGGAAGGTGGTCTTAGCAAAAAAACACGATATATAGAACAAGGGTAGGTCAATGATCCGACGGAACAAGATAAAACAAAGCAAGAAACTCCTCCAAGACTTTCAGTCTGAGTTGACCCCAGTGCTTCATACAAGCCACAATCATAATGCCAACCTGTAATTACTGTTTGAGTGCTTCTCTTTGTTTAAATTCACATCAGATGTGGCCAGTGAGTTGTTTTTTCCAATCAACACGGTTGGACGGGAGGTCGGCTCGCCCTGACCCGGTGAGGAGCTGTCCAGTGACCCGGATGAGCAGGTCCGCTTGGCGCTGGCAGCACCTGGGACGGACGGAAGTGTGGTGGATGGAAGTGGTCGACTGGAGGATGTGCAATGAGATCAGGCTGACACTCCCCAAAGGGTAGAAGATGGAGATTAATATAGAATATTATAGAATTGGATGTGAAAGGGCCCAGACCATCGATAATTACCTTTTTGTTCCATCTCCCATGTGCTTGGTTGGATGATTTGCCGGGTATCGTTGATGTTCACCAGAGATTGCGCCTAGGCAAACCTGGGCCGTGTGGCCCCACTGAAGAGCAAAGAGGCCAGAACACTCGGGATGGTAAGAGCAGCAGGCAGTGGAGGCAGGAGCCACTTAGACTTGGACCATTTGGAGAAGAGTTGCCAGAGTTGATGAATCTCTGAAAAGAGTGACCTTCAGCGGGAGGGTGATCAGCTCGTACATTAGTTGTGTGTTTAAAGTATCGTATTTTAAGAGCACGATCGCCTGCTTTGTTTTTCAAAATGTTTGATACTCTTGCACGCACTCGGTTGTAAGGTGGCTAACAGTGGCTTATGCTGCTTCAACCCTTAGAATTGGGAGCAGCTGGGGAGGCTGGGAACCCAAAGAAATTCCCTTGTCCACTTGGCGCTGTTTGCGTCCCTCAAGCATATGAGTTGGGGAGTACCCCCTCTTCTGACCCACGCTTTGCGTCTTTCTTCACTCGTCTCTGTTCACCTCAGGCAGTCTTGTCTGCCCTTCAGCTTGCCTCGAAAGATGAAGATGTGGAGGTTCAGCTGTGGCGGAGTTGAATGGAAGAGAAGTAACACAGCAAGCAGGAACGGCCAAGAAGGTTCAGTGTTTGGCATATGTTTGACTCCATAGTGATATAATGTGATAGTTATATAATGTGATATATATATAAATTATACAACATAACAAATCACTTGCATAGATGACTTGATGATCTTCCACCTGCAGCATCAAGTTTCTTCAATGTCCATTAACAAAAAAACACATGGGTCCATTGATGGGTCCTTTGATCCAATCCCTAGGACATAGCGGTTTCCAGCGGTTGACCGCTGGTTGGCGGTCGCGTTTCTGAGGGAAGCTATCAATAACTAAATGAATTTGCTCTCACAAATTGCAAGCTCACGCCTCGCACCTCTCAAAGACATCGATCGGTTTTTGCCCATCGGCCATTCAGGCTCGCTGAAATTGCTTGCTGAAAGGGTGGGCTTTGCCACGGGGTGATTGAACGACCCAAGTCTTTGGACACGGTCCGTCAACTCTGGAATGTGACATGTAATATTGCTATTCAGCTACCAGCAACATATTGCTATATGTTCATGCAACTCTGTAACATTTAGTGAACACTATATATAAGTTTGTTAATTTCATTACAACAAAATATTGCTTACCCGCTTGCTATCCACTTTGCCAAGTGTGTGCTCATGCCTACCCATTGGGCAAAATAGGTCCCAGGAACCACTTTGCTTAGCCGAGCCACTAGAGCCATTCTTTGTTTGACGCCATGCCACGTGGCCGCGCACCAGCAGCCATGCACTTAGCTGAGACAATGGGGAAGGGCTTGCAACATGTCAACCTGTACCGTTATATATGTACCACAACATTTCAACCATTTTCAACCTGTCTACCTGCTGGAGATTCCTGCACAACACGAAACTCGGTTCCAGTGCTTCCATCAAGATGATTTGATTGTAGACAGAATCCGCACTTCCGGGGCGTTTGGAGGAGTTGCATCCTTTAAGTATGTGAAGCTTCTGTAAACAGAACGAACCCTTGCCTTAAACAAAAGGAGGACACCAATGAGACACATGGATCAGTCAAATCCATCCGCCATATATGGGCCATATCCCCAAACATGTGTCCAATAATTGGGGTTCGATGTTATCAAACAATCATCTGATCCGGGCCCATTTTTTTTCAATATATACATGTGAACTCTGAACAATTGTTTTCAAAGTTCTGCTGAATTTGGGCAAGGGTACACAGGGCTAGAGTTCAAAGGTTGGTGGTCAGGAATCCAACCCAAGTCCAAGCAGTTCCATGAAAGTGTCCCAAGCAGTTCCATTAAAGTGTCCTCCTCTTTTACTTTTACTCAACTCCTATTTGTTCAATCATCACACAGTCACAGTCGGTGCCAACAGTGTCAACCACCCTTTCTTCTCTCAGTCCAAGTCTTCCACACGCCGCCAACACCACTCCTCCCTCCCTCCCTCCCTCCCTCCCTAGAGGTCTCCGCTTCGGGCTCCAGCCTTGCTCCGCGCGTGTCTCAGGTCGTCCTGGCTCCACCCCCACCGCCCAGCAAACCGCCGCCCGCGGTGGCCACGTTGCCCAAGCACGGCGCGCCCAGCGGTTCGCGTGGCGTGGCTAACAAGCGGCGTGAGCGTGGTGGTGGACAGGTGGCGTGAGCGTGAGCGGAAAGGGGGCGGGAGGTGGGGGAAGCTTAATCTTTTGGTGGTCCATGCAATTGGAAACAAACAGGTGAGCTCTAAAGCTAAAGTAGACTCGTAGACCCACTCAAAAGATCTCTAAAAGAGTTAGTCAGAGCATACACTTCATAGTTTACAGTTCAGCATTCCACATAAGATCCTACTCCACCAGCCACTCAACAGAAGCCTATCATCGTTCCGAGGTCAGAAGTCCCAAAGGTGCGTTTCGTGTGGGGCTCGGACGTAGCCGCGTCCGGCATCGCGATGAAGGCGTGGCAGTGTGCCTGAGGGGAAGCGGATGAAACAAGGCCTTGGATTCACGGAATGGTTGAATATTTTGGAGCTTTGGATGGTTACCTTGCAACTGCGAGTATACTTACTTAGGGAAGTCTTGAGACTAGATGACTATGGTGAGTAGAGTGACTAGATTCTATAAAATCTATAAATGCATAGACATCATAGACCAGGCATGACCAGGTTAAATAGCTTTTGTTGTTGTTGGTGGTGGTGCTGCTGCTGCTGTAGTGTGGAAGCAATTTTACTCGCTCGACATGCATCTTGGGTCTCCCTAAGGACTTTGGCTACGACGACATCGAGGGTGGAAACTTGTTGGGGAAGCTCTTGGGGAGCCTGCAGGACGGCGGGTGTCGTTGATCAGGCGGGTGCGGTACCGGGGATAATATTGATGTGATGATTTGATTGGGTTTATTGATCATGGCCGCTTTTGGTTTGGCAAGTATATAATATAGCATTGATAGCTCCTGTTACCTGTGAGAAGAACTGGACTTCCAGGATCTTCCAGGGTTGTAGAAACACAAGACTCTGACCATTATTGGTGGGATTGGTAAGTTTCATGAAAGGCAAACTGATCCTGAAAATTTGTTGGATACAGTCCTAGCACCTCAAAAGACTCTCCAGCAATTTCCGAGACTTTCCACACTTCAGCTCTCCCGCATCCTCTCCAATCAGATTTGTATAGATACAGACAACTCTCATCCCGCCGACCCGCCCCTGGCTGTCCGCCACTTCAGCTCTCCCGCTGCCATCCTCTTCGTCTTTCAGGAAGATCGACTCTCAGTGGCCGAGGCCGTACGGGCTCTTGAAGCGGATCTCCGTGGCCAGGTCGTCGGCGAGGTGAAAGACCGGTGGCCCAATTGGGGGTTCGACCAGTCCGTGGCCCTGGGGATGAGTAAGAAGCTCCAACCCAAAATGATGTATTCCACAGGATCTGGCATGGTATGAGCGTTTTGACTGGTGGTTCTGTTGGGGGATCTGGGGGGGTTGTGGTGGTGGGTTTCTGGGATGAGGTTCTTGAAGTTTCACGATAGGCGAACACTGGATATTTATATGTCCCCCTCAAAGTCGCTGTTGGAGGCAGCGATCGACTCTTCTCTTCGCTTGTTTTGCGAGCAACATCTGCCTAATGCAATCCAAGTTTGCTTGAAGTCCGTTTTTGTTGGGGAACAGTGGGTGAGCGACATTTAACATGATATCAGACGGAAAGACAAATGCAAATACATTCACTGCCTGTGTTTGAAATTGAATGTTCAAGCAATTCATTGCACAGTCCCACGTCACCCAGTCCATCCAACTCCTCCGGGGGGGCATTCATCTGTGTGTTGCCCCGAAGGCCCCGCAATCAGCGGCCTCCAGCAACCTCAAGGAGAGGGGAGGGAAGAAGAAAGCTTGTGGTTGGATGGCTGAATGCTTGTTTCTTTGGTGAATTCCTTGCCAGCTTTCATGGTTTATTAGTTGCTTCGCCTCGCTGTTGGGGTGCATCAACCATGATATGAGCGAGTGGCTTGGTGGGTCAATTGGTAGCTGGGTAAGACGTTCGTGGTTGGTAAACTAGAGCTGTTGCTTGGTTGGTGGGACGAACCTTTCAAAAGGGCAGACTTCTCCAAAGGAGCTCGGAAGTCGAAGGAATCTCCGATATGGAAGAAGCTTTCTATCTTTGGTATCAGGGATGTTTTCTTGGCATATATATATATATATATGTCAGTCATGAAGAAAGCTTCTCAAGAAAAGATGGTTAGATCATTGCCTTGGATGTGTTACTTCTTTCCTGCAAGATCGGTGCCCCAAACGCATTTGTTGCTCCTCTTCCATTTGGACGTCCCACCGCAGTGCGAAGCCAGGTCGACCGTGCGAAGCCTTGCCAACGCTGTGAGGTCTTGTTATTGCAGTCGGGGTGCCCGGTAAATCACAACACACCACAAAAAAACATGCTGTTGTTGTGTGTTCCTTGCATGTTAGTTTTGTTTTTTCATGCCCCTGGTGCATGCAAGATGCTTTCTTTCAACGGCAAAAGTACTAGTCATTTATAGTCGATCACCGAATCACCAGTGTTCTCTCAGTGTTGCACACCTTGAGGTTGGATGCCTTAGCACAATCCATGGTGGGGCTGGCCGCCCGGATGCTCAGGAAGAAGATCCTTGACAGTGTGCGGAGCCTAAATTATCCAAAATTATGGTAGGCCAACAAATCCTGGTAGATATGCGATTTATTCCGTTTCTTTGAGTTTCGGTAGATCACGCATCATAGCCGCTTTCATACACCAGGCACTGTTTTCCTGCATGTGTTTCCCTCCTCATGCCAAAACGATGGCCCAGGAATGGAGGAACTGAAGAACCCTGAACATGTGGCTGGATTGTTTCAGGGAGGAGTATGGAGAAGTTCAGAGAATAGAGTTCCAAGAGTCTCTCGCATTGTGCGTGCTATGAAACCCGCTGACCATCAAAGCCTACAGTAAATGGGAGCCTACGCCAAAGAGGCCACATCTTTTGGCAGAATTCCGTATATATAGATGTTTAGATCAGGGATGATCAAGGTGTTCCTGCATGGCTTCGCGTTGGAAGTGAAGCACTTGCGCCACTCCCACCCACTCAGCCATCCCAAGACCTGTCATGCAGGGAGCGGCATTTCGCTGGTCATTGGAGGTGGCGACAGGCTCAGCTCAGAGCCATTTGGCTCACATCGTTTGAGTTTGGATAGTGAAAGAGGCCAAAATAAGGAAACACAAATGTGTTTTTATTGTTTCTCTTTAGGTGTTTGAGTGCTTTTTCATTTTTATAGGAGGAATGTGTCATGCTGAAATCCGTACGTTGTTTGACATGGTCGAGTGGACCCCCAACAGCACCTCTGTCCCCTTGGAGATATAGTGATCTTTGGGCTTTGCGGATTTCTACACCGTCGATTTGCAGTAGCATGTAGTTGGATCTGATAACAAGCATGGATAAAGGTTGGCCTAGACGCATGCGACTAATTATGTTTATATGGTGTGTCGAGAAGGGTATTTAACCAACGGTGTTGGCCCATTTACATGGGTTTACTGGTTTGCTTAATTCTAGCAAGACCCTCGTTCCGGCAAGACAAAGAAGAACTGTTGGAAAAGTAGGCATATGATCAGGCATCAAGGACAGCTCTTTTTTCAAGGACGGCCCAACTGGCCTGTCGGCGAGGCGTCTCGACCGAAGACCGGGAGATGCTTTGGAAGGCGAGAAGGACCAGGAAGGATGGGATTCGACAGGAAGAAGAAAAAGATCCTTTTCAGAGGATCAGCGCCCAGCAATGATGTCTAATAAACCACCAAAACAAGAAGGACACCCCAACCCTAAGCCCTGGGGCAACTTTGATTCTGGCTTTGAAGGCAAATAATATGGAACTGAACATGGGATACAAGATCTACTCTCTGAACGAACTCTCTTGCCTGCAGGCACTGATGAGCTACATGCAGCCCTGTGCTCATGTGGATGCGCATCTCGGTGGATGACGAAGCCTGGGTGTGGCTGTGTGGTGCCAACTGCAGATCAGGTGGTTCCCAATCAGGTCAATCCAGGAGAAGATGCATCAACAAATCCTTTAGCAGAAGTGGGGAACGATTTTCGAGCATCTTGTAGACACAAAACAACAAAAATGAATCCATGTTGGTATGTTGCTTCATCCGGAAAGACCTTCCTTCACCAGACCGTCACCTGCCATCCCTAGGCGCATCGCGAGCACCTCGGAGGATTTGTTGAAGGCGGTGACCAAAGCGAGGTCTCCAAGATCCCGGGGGTCCCGGCCGGTGATGGAAGACTCCAATGGGACTGGAATTGGTTTCATCACGGAAGACGAAAGTTCTTTCTAAATGATCCAGTTATTGGATCTCAGATGAAAGAGAACATGTTCCACAAAAAGATGGAACCAAGATGAACCTCATTCTTTCGCTCTTGGAAGACGTCCAAGACTTTGCTGACTTTGCTTGCGTTGCAAGAACCGCAAGAACCTCCAAGGCCGTCACTCCCGACGAGCTCTTGGGGTCCTTGGCACAACAGTCCGAAGGCCCAGGTTTCGCTGTTGGGTGATCTCAAGTGATCAAGTGTGCATATCCAGTACTATCCAGTACTATCCAGCACCCCACACCATTGTCTTCCCTCAGCAAGGTAAAATCCTGTTTGCGGGTGGAGCTCCAGCGACCTCAGCGGCGCCCTCCAAGCGGCCTCGGTCGACCGAGGCGGTTGGAACAGAAGCGCGCCCAGCCCAAAGGCGCTGCGACGGCGCCTCAAGCGAAGGTCAAGGCCAAGGCGCGGGAAGGGGAGAGATGGAAGGACACTGAGGCTGCTTGGAAAGCTGGTGAAGCAGCGGAAGGTTGGGAAGCTAAAGCTAGAGAAGTAAAGCCTGAGGAGCAAACTTAAACAGCTGGGCAAGCTTGGAAGAGATTGGAAAAGCATGGAAAAGCAACATGTGATCATCATCATGGCAAGACATGGTAAGACTTCGTTTGGGCTGATCCCGGTGAGAGTAGGTATTTTGAGATGTTTTGAGGATTTCCAGCGGATTTCCTGTTTTTGTTCAACGTCAAAGGCGCATGCGGTCCTCCTACCACCTCGTGTGCCACTCGGCACAAGAAAATGGATTTCTGTCACTCTTGTTGCAGCGCCCTCCTCGTTTTTTCGGGACGAAGGACTCCTCCACACCGGGTAGACATCCAGACAATCGAAAACGCCCACAGCCTCGGGCACCACTCTCGCCGCTCGCAGGCGGAGCCAAAGAGCCACTCGGCGGAGTACGCGAAGTACGCGAAGCGGGCGCCATGTTCTGCGCGCCCCCAGCCCCACAGTTCTAGAAGAGGTTTAGTTTAGTCTAGAATTCTAGAATGCTTTGTTTTTGGAAACACATGTTCTATAGTATGTTTTTCTTTTTTTGTTTTTTGTTTTAAACGTTTTCTGTTGTTTTTGGATACGAACTTACGGTACGCTGCCTGAAGTTCCGGTTACGTGCGGTGTCAACGGTGTCAAGGGTGTCATCGTACGGTCCAGGAGTCCAGGGAGTTCAAGTAGATGCGTTCGCTGATGTAGCAAGGTGTCCAGTTGGTGTATGAATGGCTTCCTGAGAGGCTGTTCTTTGCGCCTTCACGCGGCAAAGAACAGGCTGTTTGGTTGGTACCCCGAATTCTCTATATAGTATATGCAGTATGCATGTCAAAAGTCAAAACATGAGGATCATGAGCTCTCGGTTGTCTTGGGTGCTTTGATGATGTTCATTTTTTCCTCAGAATGTCGGCCACGCAGCTCGCAGAATTGGAACCATTCTTGAAAACAGGAATCCCTGGGTTGACCTACCTGCTATATGGTGTTGCGGCTCCAGGTTTTGACCCATCCCCGGTTTGGAGATCTCACGATTTTGAGACAAAGAGATCTGACCGCTTTTGCAAACCAGAAGTGCTCTCATCTCCGAGGTAGCTCTGCCCAGCCCCAGAGTCAGATGCCGAGAGACAGCCCTGCCCAGCTGAGGGATGGATGTTGAGATACGAAAACCAAAGCACAACGGGCTAGGGCGGCAAGGCCCCAGTTCTCAAGAATATCGAACTGGGCAGGTCTTTAGTGGCAGCATGCCTTAGCTCTAAGGCCTCCAAAACCATCAGTACCCTGATATTCACCATGAAAGCAGACTCGGTGCCTCATGGATCGTGAGAAGATCGCTGAGATGAGAAGTCCGATGCTGGGCTAACTATCGACCTTGCTGAAGTTGATGTAGGTAGGACCATCGCACCAATGCGTGTTTGGCCCACGACCACCCCAAATCCAGGAGCAAAGAGCACGACAACACTATGAGACAGTAAGATGAATGAGTAAGATTCAGATGACAGGGAATCACAATGGCTCTAGAGCAACTTCCTCTACCACAGTGCGTTCCTTTCTTCTCCCAGGTGCCAAGCAACTTGGTGAAGAAGTAGTGCAGAAGGGAAAGCCTGGGAAAGCCCAAGGCATGTGAGGGTCGGTGTTCCTCAGATTGACGGTGGAACATTTAGAAAGACCATTGTTCTCCTTCTCTTCAGGTTCCAGCTGACTTCTGAACTAGCTGTGTAGGGTGATTTAGGTGGAAAACCAGGTGAACTAACTTCTGGTGGAAACCAGGTGATTTTGGTGATTCTGGGTCACGTCCGCTTGGAATTCCACCCAAACTGATAGGGCTGCGGCCACACAACCAAGTTATAGTAAGGGCTCCGCCCTGGTGCCGCCGACCCCTTTTCTTGGGGGAGGAGCGCAGCGCTGCTGCTGCGTGGTGCTGCTGGCTGCTATAGCCATACACCGGCTATTTCCTCAAGACACTCTATTCTTGACACCTTTTACCAGTGCTTATCCTACACTACGGATGCCCTAGTGTATGCACAGTCCTTGTGATGCTTACCCCTCGTTCCGGCTGAAGGCATAGATAAGCGGGGGGTAAATTGACGCCCCAGATTTGCCATAACCATAAGCCGGCTATTTCCTCAAGACACTTCAGTCCTTATACCTTTTACCAGTGCTTAGCCTACACTACGGACGCCCTACTGTATGTGCAGTCCGTATGATGTCAGAAATGCTTACCCCTCTTTCCGACTCAAGGCATACAAAAGCGGCGGGTAAATTTACCCCCTAGATTTGCGGAGCACGCATCTTCGTGCTTGCCAACGAGTGCACCCGGGTTGTTCCAATGTACCCTGCCCAGTCAGCGATGTCGCATTTACATTCTCTAGCGCCAAGTATGTACATAGCAAGCTTCCTCCCAAAACATGTAATCCCTACACGCTTTGCCGACTATGTAACTAGTACATCCGGTGCGACTCGGCTAGCGTTCGACCTGCTCCCCCTGGCTTCAAGTGATGCTTATCCCTCGTTCCGGCTCAAGGCAGACATAGCGGGGGGTAAATTTCCCCCCAAGATTGGCAATAACCACAAACAGGCTATGTCCTCAAGACACTCTATTCCATATACCTTTTACCCGTGCTTCTCCTACACTATGGACGACCTAGTGTATGTACAGTCCGTATGATGTCAGAAATGCGTACCCCTCTTTCCGACTGAGGGCATACAAAAGCGGAGAGAATTTACCCCCCAGATTTGCTGATCACGCATCTTCGTGCCTGCCAACGAGCGCACCCGGGTCGTTCCAATGTATCATTCCCAGGCGTCGTGAGGAGCGGTCACGCCCCTCGCGTTGGGTGACGGACCAGTCCAGTGACCTATATAGGGCGATATTACTTAGATTTAGATGTTTTTACAGTCAGCAAGGACTCATTTCGTGAAGAGTGGCATGATGCGGTATGATTGTTTCAGGAGTAGGGCGAAGCAAAGCCACGCTAGGGCGGGGTTGCTGGGCCAAGCTGCGGCCTGCAGGAACGTTTGCGGGCGGGGCCCGTG